AAACCAAAGCTTTTGCAAGATATGAATTTTTTATGATTTAGACAGTTTTTAGTGAAAATTCACCATTGAAAACCTAAAAGCTTGTCATCACTTTTTAAATACCTCTGCCCACGCTGCAGATGCTCAGCGGCTCTTAGGAACCTATATCTAAATCAAATAAGTCTTTCCCGACTCGATAGAGGTATCTAAAAAGTGATAACAAGTTTTTAGGTTTTCAATGGTGAATTTTCACTAAAAACTGTCTAAATCATAAAAAATTCATATCTTCCAAAAGCTTTGGTTTATAAGCCTAAAACTGTCGCAGTGAGTAGACAACATCTGTCTTCAACTGTGGTGAAAATTTTCGACTCCTAGCTGATCATGGTCGTGAGCTATTAATTAATTATTATTAATGGTATTTTCATTAATTAACTCATATCTCCGTCAAAAAGGCGCATGGGCCCAAACCAACTTGGGTTTTTTCACTGCTGACTATTCCCTACATGATGAAAATAGTCTCAGTCGAAAAGCCTTTAATCACCTCGAAAGATTCCCTCGTTAGTATGGATATCTTCAAAATTAAAACTTGGAGCACTAAAATAATCATTAGCTCATAATAAAATGTATTTAAATACTTCTAATACTGGAATACTTTTGTGCTATCGTTCAGTTTTCAATGTTCACATGTGACATTTAAAGCCATACACCCGCAGGATTCGAGAAAAAATGCCTATCACGAAAACAAACAAGTAGATAAATATCATGCTTCGGACTACTATCCTTTTCAACATACAATGGAGTGACTGATGTTTTTAATAATATTTTAACAAAATGAGATAGAAACTTGCGGTATTCGCTATCGTGTAGCCAAGACCTGACGGAATGATTCCGTCAAAAGCCTAGTTTCTACTAGATAGAGATAAAGATCCGCGTTTTCCGTCACTCGATAGCCAAGATTTTAAAGCATCTTTTCAAAAGCAAAAAGCTTTGAAGCTATTTTTCAATCAGTTTTCTAACGAATCTTTGGAAAACCATGTCAGGAGGCGAAAGTTTAATATAGAAATATATTAGCTTGTTTACAGAGATAGATAGGCAACATTGCGTTAGTAACAAAGAAGGGTCCCCGCATAAGGTTGATAATCGGCCCATTCTCTTTTGGAGTAATAATGATTTCGTATGTAGTAAAGTATTTCTATTCGACTCCGAATAAAATCAGATGTTTTTGTTCATTAAAATCCCGTTAATTTGAGTCTATGATAACTTTTGCTATACTCATCGAGATCTATCTGCTCTGTAAGTTTTGAAATTTTCTGACTCACCCTCATCCCTCCCAATTAACGGATTCAAAATTGGAATAAAAAGATACAAAACTAAGTGTAACTACAAAATCAGTGAATCATAGAACCTGTGCTTGAATAAGAATTTCATTTCTTAAAATAATAAATAATAAAAAAAAGAATTTATTTTCTTAAAATAATTCCTGGCGTGATCGTAGTTCTTTTTCCAGTTCAACCAAACGTTTATGTTCAACAGCATGTCCATCAATAATCTTTTTAAATCCCTCTAACTCTGCTATCAAATGATCAGCTCTGCCAGCAAACATTATATCCCCAATTGTGCTAACACCATGTGTTATGGTCGATGCACGCGCAGCCATCGTCGAATATGAACTGGGGCCAGTTGCGGCTGTCACTCTTGAATGGATGAACACATGCAAAAGTGTCGAGATACCATTGATCATAGCCGAGACATAACTATTTGAGCTAAGCCGTTTTGCTTCCTTTACTTTATTATTGATGTCATCTACGACACTTGAAATATCGTCATTTACAACTTTCAACAGTTTTTGAACGTAATTTAGTTGAAGAACCTGTTCGAGGTTTGAAGCTTTTGAATTAATCATTGGAGACATGATCAAAGCACATTCTTCAAGGTTTTCAATGATACGTTTGACTTGATTTTCACAGGAAGGCAGTTTCAGAGAGTAAATCAGATACCTAGAGAAAAAAGGGTACGTTTTTCAGGGATTCGTTTCTCTCGATTGGAATAGAATTTTCGAGCTCACAAAGAACGACTTTCTACGTACTTCCAATTATTTTCTATAGTTTAAGATAAGAAACTGGAATTTTTTCAATAGAAAATTCACAGTGATGGTTTGTTTGGTGAAAAAAAGAAATTTGTAGAAATCAATGTCGGTAAAGTGGCTTTGAGTTGCGATCCTTTTAAATGTTAAGCACTTTTCGGAAAAAATTCTCCAAGAGCTATATAGGAAAAAATATTTTTTTAATAATTTTCAAAAACTTAAATTTGTCTCCATTGTTTGGAAATTTACAATCTCTCGCGTCCAAAAATTTGCAAACGGTCCTGTTTTGCTTCCAAAATTTATAAGCTTCGAAAAAAGAACTAAGTTTTTCCAAACTTCACGAATTTCTACTTTCAGAAGTTTGAATAATTCACGATATTTCATTAAAACGCCAGAATTGCTCTAATATGTTCAAAAATAAGGATGAGAAGCTTAAAACACTAGCAACTGGAAAAGTTTCCAATTAATATTAAGGCAAATTTTTTAGACCCATACACATATGCACCGTATCATTTTAAAAAAAAGATGTAAGCAACACTACTGTACGACTTTTACCTTGAAGTCCGTTCACACCTAATATCCTTCTGCAGCAAATTTGGAAATGTTTGAGTGCGAAGGAAACCATATTTCACAAACCCCCGTTTTAGCCATGCTTGTTGCTTTGCAGTTAC